GCATTTTTTTGGGTTACAAGAAAGGTATCAAAGGATTCAAGTTCTAGGATCCAGTTGCGAAGAAAATTATGATCTGTAGAGATGTTTTTGATAACATCCCATGTTGCAGCAGAAGAAAGACACAACAGTGATGAATTTCGAACAGTTTCCAGTTGAGAAAACAAAAACTTCTCAACCGACTTCTGGTGGTTCTGCTACGGATGATTTGCAGGATTATAGTCTCGCCAGAGACAGGATGAGACGGACGAATATAAAGCCTCCGAACAGATTGGGTTTTAAAGACTTGGTCTCTTTTGCACTTAGTGTTAGCAGTGATGATCCAATTACTTTTCATGATGCTGTTACTAGTAAGGAAAACGACAAGTGAATGGCTGTCATGGTTGAGGAGATGGAGTCTTTGAATCAAAATCGTACATGGGAGTTAGTTCACCTTCCTGAGGGTAAGAAGCCGATTGGTTGCAAATGGGTGTATAAGAAGAAACCAGCAATAACAGAAAAAGAAGGGGAGAAGTTCAAGGCTCGTTTGGTAGCAAAGGGTTTTTCACAGTAGAAATGAGTTGATTATGATGAATTTTTCTCTCCTGTGGTCATGCACACTTCAATCCGAGAAGTACTTGCATTGGTGGCTAGTTGAGATTTGCATTTAGAGCAGATGGATGTGAAAATTGCTTTTTTGCATGGTGATTTAGAGGAGCAGATCTACACGCGGCAGTCTGAAGGTTTCACTCAACCTGAAAATGAGCATTTAGTTTACAGATTGAAGAAATCTTTGTGGGTTGAAGTAGTCTCCGAGACAATGGTACAAACGGTTTGACTCCTATATGATCAAGATTGGCTACAAGCGATGTGAGTATGATTGTTGTGTCTATGTTAAGAGCCTTGATGATGGTTCTTTTATTTTTCTGTTACTGTATGTTGATGATATGTTAATTGCTGCGAAGAACATAGATGATGTTATCAGTTTAAAAACTTTATTGAGTTAGGAATTTGATATGAAAGATTTAGGTGCTGCAAAGAAAATTCTTGGAATGGAAATTTGCAGGGACAGAGACTCAAGGAAACTGTGGCTATCTCAACGGGGTTATGTTGAGAAAATGCTAGAAAGGTTTACGATGAGCAGCGCAAAACCAGTAAGCACTCCATTGGCGAATCACTTTAAGCTCTCATCAGAACAGTGCCCTAAGACAGATAAGGAAGCTGAAGATATGACAAAGGTTTTGTATTCTAATGTTGTTGGTTGCTTGATGTATGCAATGGTATGTACTCGTCTTGATTTAGATCATGTTGTTAGTCAAGTTTGTAAGTACATGTCTAAACCTGGTAAGCAACATTGAGAAGCAGTCAAGTGGATCTTTCGGTACTTAAAGGGTACTGTGGGACATGGAATTGTTTTTGGTAGTCAGCGGGATAATCCTTTGGTTGTAGGATATGTGGATTCAGACTATGCATGTGACTTGGATAATAGAAGATCTACGATAATGTATGTCTTTACTCTTGGTGGAGGGCGTATTTGTTGGAAACCTACGGTTCAATCTGTTGTGGCATTATCTACAACTGAAGCTGAATACATGGCAGCGGCTGAAGCTACAAAAGAAGCTTTATGGCTTACTGGTTTAGTGAAGGAGTTAAAGGTGGAGTTCAGTTGCTTTGCGACAATCAAAGTACTATTCACTTGAATAAGAATAAGGTATATCGTGCTAGAACTAAGCATATTGATGTAAGGTTTCACAAGATCAGAGAGTTGGTTGCATCTGGAGATATTTTTTCAGAAGGTACATACTGATGAGAATGTCGCTGATATGTTCACCAAGCCAGTTACGACAGACAAGTTCAAACATTGCTTGGACTTGTTGAATGTTTTGAGTTGTTAAAGAAGTAAGGTAACCCAACCCACATTGAATGTTTCCTAAGGGGCAGGATATTCGTCAAGGTGGAGATTTGTAAGGTATGACTCATAAATATACCGGTAAAGAGGACAGAGGATGGAGCGGAGTGAGCGAAGCGAACTCAACGAACATCATCTGTCCTTATAAAGAAAGTCTCGTAGTGGGGGTTACATTATGTGGGTTACGGTACATGGTTATTTTTTTAAATATGTATCAGGGTTTATTTATTATAAATATAGATGTAACCTAAACCTATGAGACATTGAATAAAACTTTTAGCGCCACCTAGACACCGAGGACGTAAGCACATTGATGAACATCATTAAAATTCTTTCGTTCTTTCGTTTTCTTTACCCAATTCTTCAACCGAATATAATAACACAAGCAAACGGTTTGTACCAAGACTCTGCAATGGATAGAAGGTCTTCTCAATTGATTGGATGTCGGGGATGTTTGTGTTTTTGAGCTCGTTAGTATCATCGAAATCACGTTTAACGTATTCATCTTTCGCCGTGAAGTTGCAGAATCAGTAGGTGAGTACATTGTTTTTACATTCCAACCCAGCATTTCACCTCTAACGTACGTCAATGTTCGATCGCGCAGATTTCCGAATTCCTCAGTGCCGTTGATACCGCCAGATGGGAATGGAGCTAATCCAGTGAAATTCATGAAAAGCTTGGGAACTGATAATCCTAGAAAAAGTAAATGTGCAGTATCCTGCATTGATGATGACAAAGCAGCAGTTGAAAGTACAAGTTCCCTCCTATCCTTGATATTTTTGTACCTCTTTTTATGCATTAACTTTGTGCAGACAATTTTAACTAATTGAGACATCACAATTCTGGTTGTTCACAGTATGGTCAAGGGGCTTCTTCCCTTGATGGTGTTTTTGAAGCTTATCTCCCAAAAGATCCAGATTTCAAACTTGTTTTTAGATCACGTTACTTGAACCATGGCATTCTGGTATGCTTTTTATCAGCTACTTTTGTACATAGATACAATATTTTTTTTATAACTCGAAAAGAATCGAATGCGAAATGACCCGACAACCGAATTCAGCAGTCTAAATATGGACATTACATGTTGGATACTAATTCAAGCTATTTTTATTGTTCTGTATGCAGAGATTTCCATCTGCATTTGGCAAGAGATATATTGTAAACGGGAAACTATGCTGGTAACCCTTGAGATTGCAGGAAGAAGATGGGTTGTGAAGCTAAAAAACTATGGTGGGTTTAGGTGCTGTTTAACAAGTGGTTGGACTCAATTTGCTGGGGTAAATTATCTCCAAAAGGATCACTTTTTAATTTTTATTCTTTCACCTCATCAATGCTACTGATTTGGTGTTCAGAGTTTCCATCATCAAACATAGAGCTTAACATATATATATTTCAGTATTATGTAGTCGGATGAGCTTGTGAAAGACATGATATCTGATTTTGAATGGTTTCTAATCGCTATTCATCTTCAAGTTTCGAATTTGAGTAGATGAACATTTATTCTTAAATAATTGAATCTTTTGTATAATTATTACTCGACTAATAAAAGATATACTAAATCATACCTTTAATTTTTTAAAATAATTAGTATCTAAACTATCAATTTTAGTATGTACTTAAACTTGTATATATTTAAAATTATACTTAAAATTTAATTTTTATATATTTAAAATTATACTTAAAATTTAATTTTTATTTTATTTTAGTACTCTGTTCAAAATTTAACATTTAACAATTAGTTTTGAAAAATAAAAATTTAACCTTCTAGCCTACGTGTCCAAAGAAGATTGGTGATTATTGGTATCACCGTCGTTAGGAATTAATCATTAGATCGGACGGTGGAGAAACAAGTATTTACCGACAGTCGCTGAAATTCATCACGTGTTCAAAGAATAAATAAAAACGCTGTAGGAACTAGGAACATATTTGACCAACAGAAAGTTGGTGCAAATCACAGGCGCTGCTCAAGTGCGTGTCTCGTGAACCATGTGATTGGATTGGGTTTTCACGTTTTGTCTGGCATACCCCCTCTTTTTATTGCTACTTTTTTGCTAAATTATACACCCTTTTAAATTATTACAATAGAATTTATTTAGATTTGATCATAATATCCAAATTTGATCTTGTGTTATCCATAAAATATTTCTTCAAGGATGAAAGCTTAACTCACTAAATACAAATTTAATTCAAATTTATTGTGTTCTATTTTAATTTTTTAAAAAGAAATACTTTTAATTTTTTTTTTCAATAACATCGGGATCACATCTTCCAATATAATAATATCACGTATGATTTTATAGAAAATTTAAAGAAACTGAAGTCTAAATAACGATGGTGTACAAAAGCATGATTGGATTTTTTTCCATAATAATAATATCCTTATCTTAAATATTTTTAAAGTAAATATATATATTAAATAATATTTTCTTAAATAAATAACAATCAATAGTATTTTTTTAATTTAATGTTAAGATTTTCAAAATAGATATTTAGGACAAATATTAACAAACTTTATTATGATTTATTTTAGCAATATAAGTGGTACCAAAACTAAAAAAATGCATTACCCTCAATTTAACATGTTAAATAAATAAATTTATCAAACGATGTCAATAGTAAAATAATAAAAGATAATGTCATTATTACATTATTACTAGAGATTTGAGTTTAAGTAGTTATATTTACAAAGTGCATATGTATTATTGTTAGTAGAGTAAAAATTTTAAATATATCTTACCTTTAATCACCTCATACTATTAAAAAATAAAAAAATAATAAATAGATACTTATTTGATCACTAATATATTAGTATTTTTTTAAAATTATACATAACGTTATATTTTGATTTTATTTTAATTACTCATCGATAAAATATAATAATAATAATAATAATAATAGTACGTATAATGTCATATTAATATAAATTTCATATCAAAACTTAAATAGCAGGTAACTGGTCAAGTAGATATTTACCTAAAATATATTTAACAAAGTTTTTTAAAAAAACAAAAGGTGTTTTACACGCGGTAAGTGGGGCGCGTAAACGAAAGAGAACTAAACCCGAACCGCACTTAATTTCAAAAATACTTTCCACCTGTTCTTTTGTTAAAGAAAACCGAACTGGGTAAAAGCCTGAAAATAGTAGAACTATCGAGGGGCACTATCGTCACAAGGATCTATAAATGAAATAAAAAACAAAATCCACTTCATAATACACAGCACAGCAGAAAGCCATAAATGAAAGGGTAAAGGTACTATTTTCTTTTTCCATAGGATCCCCAAATCTTACTTTAAAGTTGGCTTCTAAATCTATTGAATCAACCTTTGTGCTAAAGAAGCTTTACTCTTCTTATCTGGTGAAGTATCCTACTCTTTGTTTAGTTCTTTGTTAAATCTCAACATTATTTTTTAAATCCTTTGTATTTGTATGATTTTGATTTTGTGGGACTTGCTTTTGAGTTGCTTATAGGTGTGGGTTTTCTTTTTTGAGTTTAATTTTGTTGTGTTGGGTTCGGATTTGGAGAAATGTTTGTTTCTTTTTTAGTCAAGTGCAGACTGGACTCTTTAAGTTTTAGGATTTCTGAGCTTTGTTTGTGTTTTGAGAAAAATGTTAATGAAATGTGATCTTTCGAGCGTTTGTTTGTTTGGTGATTTGACATTCTCTCTTTAGATCAAATGATGATTCAATTCTCAAGGTTTTTATGTCTCATTTGGGTAGAAATGAGTGGATATTGACTGTTTAAGATTTTTTTCTTAAATGTTTTTACAAGTGTTAGCTAGGAAAATTCTTAAAGGAAGAAAGAATCAAATGATGAATCATTGCATTCATTTTTTTTCTCGTGCTTGCTTTGTTTTTGGTCTATTTTTATGTTTTCTTTCGTAATTAACAATTCTTTACAAATTATGTTGTCTTCTCTGATTAGGAATTGCAAGATGGAGAACATGAATAACTTTTGGCAGTTGGGAGATGATCTTCGTGGACAATCGAAAGTCGCAGAGGATAACAAATGGTTGATGGCTGCATCAAAACTGGCTGAACAGACGAGGATAAAGGGTGAACGTATGAACAATCTAGATCTTTCTATGGGTCCAGCTGAAATGAGGATAAGGGATAAATTTGGGTTCCAGGAAGACAACAAATTTGAGAACCTTAACTTTACTATGTTGAATTTGAACTCCAAGATTGGAAATAATGTAAGCAAAAGTTCCTTCCAAAATGGTAGTTACAATATGAATGCTGTTTACCAGAAAAACAACAGCAATACCCTTGGAACCCTCGCTGGCAACAATCATAGCAGCAAAGACGTCAACTATAACAGCAACACCAACAATAACAATAACAACAGCAATGAGACAAGCAATGTTGTTGACAAACGATTCAAGACTTTGCCTGCCACGGAGACACTTCCAAGAAATGAAGTGCTTGGAGGATACATCTTTGTTTGTAACAATGATACAATGCAGGAAGATTTAAAGCGTCAACTGTTTGGTAAGATTTATGTTCTCGTATATGTAATTGTTGGTTCATTAATTCCCATTATTAACATTTTTAGGTAGGAATTCTTAGTCCTTACATGTTGCTATTATCTCATTTAATAGGCTTACCACCAAGATACAGGGACTCTGTTCGGGCAATCACACCTGGCTTGCCTCTCTTTCTCTATAACTACACTAGTCATCAATTGCATGGTATTTTTGAGGTTTGTTCTCCTACATTCTCATCTAACGTTCTTTTCATGCACTTTATGATGCTTGATGATGTTGGTTGATTAGGCAATGATAGTATTGCCCTTCAACTGTTGGAGTTACTTTCTTTCTCCGAATGTTTGCATTTGCTAGATTTATGTGATAGTCAATCAGATTTATCAATAATACCTTTTAATGGTGAGATTGATTTCTCTTTCAACCACCTCCACCTCAGTCCCAAAAGGAAGAGATAGGCCTTGAATGTATTAAGTTTGTAATACTGGAGTGATATGACAATCAGGGTTAATTTATGTTCATAGAAGAAATAGATGTGACAATCATTTTAATCTCGCCCCCCCCCCTATTTCTTATATGAACAGGCAGCATGTTTTGGGGGTTCTAACATTGATCCAACTGCTTGGGAAGACAAAAAGTGTAAAGGCGAGTCAAGGTTTCCTGCTCAGGTGAAGTTTGGGCTTATCATTCCTATAATTGTATTGCTTATTTCAGTGGAAGATTGTACTAACCCTAAGCCTTTTAATTTTCTACCCTAATACATAGGTGAGAATCCGTATTAGGAAAGTCTGCAAAGCATTGGAAGAGGATGCTTTTAGGCCAGTCTTGCACCACTATGATGGTCCTAAGTTTCGTCTCGAGCTCTCAGTTCCTGAGGTATGAAAAACAATTATAAGTTCGCCCCAACAATTTATTCTCTTTTATTATCAAAAGCTAACAAGTTTGGTTCTGAACTTTGCAGACTTTGGATCTATTAGACCTTTGTGAACAAGCAGGCTCTCCATAAGCAAAATGTTAGCCGAGTGCAAATCAGCAGTGTGCTTTTCAAAGATTTTCATAGAACGCAAGTTGTGGGTGCAAGTCCGGTTGGTGAAATCATCTTTGAAAAAAAAGTAGGAAATGAAGTTGGCCAGTTGAATAAATGCATTAGTGTTTTGTCAAGATGCTTTGTAAAACCTCTTTGCATGATAATCTATGAATCAAAAACCTTATAGATAGACTTGCAAGATGTGAAAGGGAATGATATGTGTAATATGTTAAAAGTAAGAAAAGAAGGTATTGATGCCTTTTTGTGCTTATACATATATCCTATCTTCTTTCTAAGGAAACTCCTAATGCTGACAGAATGGATGTATAGTAAAATTTTAACAATCCTTACTATTTCTAGCTTTCTAAGGTCGACATTTAAGTTCAAGATCAAGCAAATGATAATATCAAAACAATCTTAGTTAAGTTATAATTAGACTAGGATATGCTCGTTTCAACAGCCACTATGTTCATTGAAACATCAAACATGCACAAGACAAACCAAAGGATAGTCATCAAAGAAATACGTACAAAGACAGAACAAGTACACGCTGTTATCATTCCTAAGGCCAGCCACCTCACGAAACAGTAATAAACTCAACTTCCACCAGAGGACCAAAGCAGAGTTTTCTATCCCAAAGTTGCAGACAATTGTAAACATCAATAAAGCATAAACGAAGTTCCATCCAACTTGCAGTGAACAATGAGTATTCCTTTGGCTTAATAGTATTAAGCTATTTCATAAACAACATCACCTTAAACAAGACTTGCTGGTACAGCCAAACTCTAACAAGTTTTCCATTGAAACCCATAAAACAAGAATGAACTACTCTATTGCTTTCCCACGCAAGCTGATGATCAAAGAGCAGCAGACATGAGAAACGTACGAATTCTTTGCAAGAGGTCGGCCTTTACGTTGTCGGGAACGGAAGCTGCATAAGCAAGGATTTAACCAAATCATAAAACAATGTATAACGGAAGGAAAAAAATAGATCCTTACCTCTTCCTTTTGGGGTGATCAAATGCACAAGGTCATCTACAGTGACATTGTTTCTTCCTTTCTTCTTAATATACGCCCTATCATTCATAACAGAAAGATGTTTCATGAAGAATAATCAGGATTGCACACAATGAACTAAATAGCTTATTGGATAAAAAACTAAATTTTACAGGAAATAAGCCATCGGTGGAACATTATCTATTTTATGAAATGACACTTCATTTATCTATTGTATGTCCTTCAGAAGAAAAGGTCAACAACAAGGGTTACACAGCTTCTCACAACTAACAGGAGAATTTCCATACTTAGATGTGTTGTCATTCTCCGAAGCGTCACACGACATCACATTGCTATATACAATTAGATGCATCAAATAATAAGCCTAAGCATCTTTCATACATGATCATAATAGAAAACACCACTAGCTTTCCGTCGCATCCAGAAAATGCAGCATAAGCATATCTGCAACATTTGGACATAGCCTGCACATTGTGTTTATACATAGTAGGAATCAACAATTAAAAAAAAAAACCTAAGAACCCCACAACAAATTTTTTCCCATGGATTAATCACTTAATAAAACCCGCTGTTGGAAAAAAAAAACGATTGTGAAGTATTGTTAATAAGATAACACTAATTAGTTCTAAGTATTCTAATTGCCTTAACAACTGTGAATATTCAAAACTATCCACTTTCAGATACTACAATTGCCAATCCTTTCATATACAGCAATATGAAACTACTTGATTCTAATTACTCTAATTTCTAATTCTATATCTATGAATCTTCAACATTCTGTCGACTTTTTGATACTAACGATTCGAAGTTACTAACACTTTCAGACATTGCAAAGAAACTAGCATTGACCTAAGTTCAAACGATAACCTGAAGAAAGGAAACAGTAACAAGTAAAAACCTGCAAATAGCTTTCATCTCATCCTTCCAACCACAGTCTATAAGCCTTTCTCTTAACAGCTCCATTAATCTCTCTTTTTCCCCACTCTCGATCAACTGCAAAATTCAATGAAATCATAGTAAATAAACTTTAAAAAACACCCAGAATCCGTTCCATAATTAAAATAGAGAAAAAACGACCTTGATGTTAATAATTTCTTGAAGGGTGGGTTCTTTCCCTTGATCTTCTGCAGCATCTGGAGTTGGTGGTCGATTTACTGAATGTTTCCTGTTATGAAAAATCAATTTAATTTAAAGATGCGATCTTGGTTACCTATTCACTGAAATTTAAATAGAATCAAGAGGTTTACATGATTTTAAAGCTCTATTGGTCTACGAAAAATCAACGAAAGAAGAAATTGAATAAAATTTTATCCTGGAAACAGCTTGAAGAACGAGAATGTTAGAAGAAAGACGGGAATTTTTAATTTCTTTTCCCCTTTGGCGACCACCTCCTGAAACGGCAGCGTTTGGGAGGTTTTACATGATGAAACGTTTTACTATTTTGTCCCTTGGATTAGTTTGAAAATGCGGAAAAACCTAATACGTCAACGGCCGGAAGATAAAGAAGTGGCGCCAAATGGTAACCATAAAATTACAAAAAATATCTTTGAAAAATTCGCTAATAAAATGAAAAGAAAATCCAAAGAATTTCAATCTCTTCCATAGACGCTAACCATTGTTTCATTCTCTTGTCGTGTTTTTTCTTGTAATCAATGGCCTCTTTGCTTCTCTCTTCTCTCTGTTTTACTTCTCAAAAGCCTTCTTTGACGTCCTCCCTCCGTTCCACCTTCGGAGCACCGACGGAGTCCAGATTCGTTGCTCCGTTATCAATCGGATTCCGACCGGTTAAGAAGAGAAATGGAAGAATTAGGGTTTTGGTTTACTCCAGAGCTTCTCCGCTTGTGTTCCGGGACCTCGACGCTGATGATTTCCGGCATCCACTCGATAAACAGGTGGGGTTTCTATCGGAAATTTAACGAATTTAATTCATAATTTATTTGATTTTCTTGTTTTGGTTGTAGAACACGCTGCTATTGAAAGCGATTCCAGGGCTTAAGAAATAGGAAGAGCTTTACTAGGTAATTGCTTTTACTAATTAAATTTGATCATTTTTGCATATTTTTAAAAAAGTCAAAACTAGATCGTAAAAAAACTAAATTTGATTAAAAGGGAGGAAATTCCAAGATTTTAAAGGAAAATCACGTAATTTTGACATTTATTTACTTCTTTGAAACTATGGCTAGTCCAAAACAAATGGTTATAATTATGGTAAATCTCAATGTTAAACTAGTTATTTTTTAATGCTTTGTAGCAGGAACCATGACAGAGCAAATCATGCTTCTTGAGAATATAGGGACATCAGTCCTTGTTTCGAAAGACCAGGTTACTTGATGTTTAGAAAGTTGTTTTTCAAAACTTGTTTTTCTGGTTGTATCCACCGCAACTTGTTTCAAATTACTGTCTTTTTCTTGTATCAGCTTCCCGAACTTCATAAAATGATGATTGAAGCTGTCGGTATATTGAATATTGAACCTCCAGATCTCTATGTTCGGCAAAGTCCTGTTCCAAATGCTTATACATTGGCTATAAGTGGTAAAAAACCATTTGTTGTCATTCATACTAGTCTTGTGGAGCTTCTGACACGAAATGAACTGCAGGTTTTCACTTCTTTCCCGCTTTCTTTCTTTCATAAAACGTCTTAACCTTATTGTCCATTCATTTTGATTTTCCCTTTATAGTGCATTGAGTGCTACTTGAATCCTTCTCGATAAAAGTTTGTTTGTTTGTTTAGTTTGATTTGGTTTCTTTCTTTTCTTTGTGATCTTCTACTATTACAAAATGTTTTCATATGCATATTTGTGATTATATATGTATAAATCGGATTAGATGTGCTTTATTTCCCATAGTAGGGCTGTGTTTTAAAAGACAAAGTGCCATAATTTAGTGTTTTGCAACTTTGAAACAGGCTGTTTTGGCCCATGAATTGGGTCATCTCAAATGTGATCATGGTGTCTGGCTTACCTTTGCAAATCTTCTCACACTTGGAGCCTATACTATTCCTGGTATGAATTTGTTTCTTTCTGTTATGTTTTTTATTTAACTAGAGCACATTAGAAGTGTGAGAAAAAAGTCTCAGACGAGACTAAAGGAGCTTATGGACTTTCAGGATAAGTGATCCTTAGCTTAAGTCCGGTGCACTTGACATTTTGAGGATACTAATATATTGTTGATGAAGCATATGTGCTGCCAGTATACATAAGCATGGGCTTGCTTTTCATGTGCTGACATGTACCTTGCAGTGTTTGCTGAGGGTGAATGATGATGATGATTTACAGGGACTACCATGTTTAAGGGGACTAGTATATAAAATTTAGATGGCCCATACCATCTTATCCTAAAAAAAACTATTTTATCCCTAAATACCTTAATTTTGGTTGTATGTATATCAGGTGGAAGTATATATGCAGTTACTATACAACATAGCGTTGAGTACCTTTGTTTTTACAGGACTTGGTGGCTTTATAGCTCAGACTTTAGAGGAACAGTTATTCCGTTGGCTTAGGGCTGCAGAGCTTACTTGTGATCGGGCAGCCCTTCTCGTCGCACAAGATCCCAAGGTATGCAGCATCTTTCCCTGAGCCAACATAATCTGCAATTAAATTGTTGAGATTCCATTTTCTGACTTTCTTTGTGATGCGCCTACAAGAGGTTGTCATCTCTGTTTTGATGAAGTTAGCTGGTGGCTGCCCATCCATGGCTGACCAGTTAAATGTGGATGCATTTTTGGAGCAAGCTCGCTCTTATGATAAGGCTTCTTCGAGCCCGATTGGTTATTATATAAGGTAACCAATGGTTTGAATTAAGCAATTTAGAATTCTCCCTAGCACTTCCCTTTTGGTTGTCGCTAATTATCTCATGTTCAGAAATGCTCAAACGCGACAACTCTCACATCCACTGCCTGTTCTACGTGCTCGCGAGATTGATGAGTGGTCAAGAAGTATTGACTACAGAAGCCTTCTTAAACGTGCAACTCAGATGAGCGCTGTAGAAAACGTTTAGCTTTCGACTGGACCTGGAGAAAGTAAAAAGTTTAAAGCCAGCTTTAATAGGTATGAGTTGCATAGTTATTTTCAGATTTCCAGAATAGTTTTCATGCATATCTTTTCTTTCCTATGTTTAACATCAGTATAATTTTATTTTACCTGAATATGAAGGGGCTAGCAATTTAAGCAATGTGATATTCAAAATTTTACCTTGCATTTGTACGATTTTATCATACGACCTTATTTTTTTTCTTGGGGATATTTTTTTTTCAGATGTTGCCTTTCCTTGCAAGGTTTGTTTCCCTTTATGTTTATATAAGATATTTTGCCAGACAGCAAGAACACAGAAAATGGAGGAAGCATCTGTAACACTGGTAGAACATTTGTCCATAAAGAACCACGAGAATTTAAAGAAGGTAAATTAAGGTAAGAGAATCATGTCTGGTTCGTCTTTGTAACTGTGACGGAGATTGTTATACCGTGTGCTTCAAAGGAACAGGAATACTGTATACCATCATCATTTGGAAGAATAAAGCAAATATAGCATTTTTTTTTTCTTCAAAATCCAGTAGTGAATACAATGCTGCTTACTTGATTAATATATATATTTTGTGTAAATTAATTCAGATAATTTTAATACTTATTTTATAACTTACCTTTAGTTTACAAATTTAATCAAATCAACAATCGAAACATCATTCTTGATCAATCAAACTAATTATTTTAAATAATCAGATGACTCATAAATGCTAATATTGAATGGTTGAATTAACCATCTAATCAATACACCTTTCCAAACTATACCCTAAACAAAAATAATATTTTTTGATTTTTTTAATTCTCTATAATTATTTTTTTATAAAGAAAAATCTAACTAAACTAAATTTTGTAGTTATCATGATAGTTAAAATATTGTTACATCATTAATGGGAATTAGTTCAAGTGGTAAGTAGCATGATTTTGTTTAAGTAAGTTTCGAGTTCGAGTCTTTTTGAATGTAAAAAAATCTCCATTGGAAGACTAATCTATCAAAACTAGGTGCAACCCGGGTTGAGACCTTTTTAGATTTTGTTGTTTTTACTTTTCTTTTAAATGATTTTTTGTGTAAAATAATGTATCTGATACCATTGATAATGTGCAAGTTTTTTTCGTGTAAAACTATGTTTCTTGTATTATTGATGATGTATTATTTTTAAGTAGACTTTTAAGTGTCAAATTTGAATAGCCGTGTTTTATATGGTTAAGTATAATTTAATATTTTTTTATAATCACTTGTCGATATATATCAGAGTTATTATTTGTTTTTAGAACTTACCTACTTATTCATAATTACAATTAAATAGTCCTTGTGTTAATTTGAAGTTAAAAATTAAGAAACCATTAATCTATCAAATGTGATGAAGGATACGGAAAGCTTTGCAACATAGTTCCTTCCAAATATTTAATATCCAAATTGCTGACTTATTTAATCAAATTGAATTTGATTGGATTCCGTGTCAAGTTCTAATTTCAATCACCCTCGATTCTTTTGCTTTATACCTAGGAAGAAGTGTTTGCATCAAGGGTATATTTGGTAAAAGAAATATATCGTTCTTACTAGGCAATGATAATAATAAACCAAATATAACATAATTGGCCATTTCCAGTGTTCAATCCACATTCATAAACACTGCATTTCCATTATATAAACCAAGAAGAAACATTGATGTCAAACTAAGAAAGCAGCCATGAATCTACCATATATAAATTACTATTTTTAACGAAATAAAAACATCTTCTTGCTAATTTCTACTCTTAAAAAAATGAAGTTTGATGATATTTATGCCTACACAAGCTACTTCCTTTTCTACATCCCTCTCAATTGCCATCCAGCAACAGTACAATTCTATTTCCGTAAGGAATGGGTCTGCTGTTGATGCATGATTCAAATCAATGAAAGAACATACTGGGTCCCAACCAAAACTTCGGAGCCATGATTCAAGTGCTTCCTGGAGCATCACTTCCAACGGCTGGCCTGCGATTCAAATAACGTATAACAGCATCTTCAACCCTGTAATGAGTCACCAAAAGAGAAATTTAATTATTCTTCATCCTTTCACAAATACTATTACCACCATTATTGCTCTCAAAAGGTTTCCCAAAGAAATTAATTTAGACAAAGCATATAAATATACTACAACCCAAGCATAATATATACGAAAGAATGCAGTGGACTACTCAGACTTCGACTAACAAGATGCAGTGGACCAACAGTTTATCTCAAATACTGAAAACTGTTGGTCAAAACTTCTGTGAGCAAATCTCAAGTCTTAAACAAGATGCTAGTATGGGCTATACATATAAAGACTGCTTTGACAGCTGTCTCCAGCAAAAGAAGACAAATTTTCAGGAATAGTAATAAATACTATGCCACAATTAGAGGTGAGATGCAATAGGGTTTAAGGATCAATCGGAGACTGAGGCTGCTAACATATCAATCACAATGCAAGATATTATCATTTATCTGTGGAAATTACAGAATATTTTGAAATTATAGGTTAGGTTTTAAACTTGAGGTAAATGATCCAAAATTAAACAAAAACAACTGCAACTAAACAGAGAAATGAGCTTACCATGGTTGGTTGAAGAAATCTGATCGTCGTTCTTTTTCAGCACTTCGACTAGCTTCCCCAGCTGCCATTTTCAAATCTGGGCTCTGAGACTCAATTAAAGCATTAATAAACTCCACTGGTGATTGACTGAAACCTAGAAAGAATGCTCGCCTTCTACGGTGCTCATGAATTTTCTTTATGGTGGCACATATTGCTTCATCACAAGCCTCGATCTCTTTGCTCTTCTCTGCATTTGACAAAAGAGCTGAGAGGTCCCTCTGTATGGGAAAAGGAACATCCACTAAGACATCATAGCATGCAGTCCCAACAGGATTATTCCCAGAAAGCTTGATCTTGTGCTCCAAATGTATGGGTGGTGGAGGAGACAAATGCTGTGATATCTTCTGCGGAACCATCATAAATTTCACTTTTTCTTCCCCAAAAACTTTAAAAAGTTGTGCATCACAATTGAAGAAAGACGGATCATTTGTATTTTGAAGTTTTCTAGCCTTCACATAATGGTAAATTGCAGCTATAATTCTGGGGCGTGTGTCAACCTCAATACCGAGGACTTCCATCAAAGCTGAAGAGAGCTTGAACTTCTCAGGCACATAACTCATTTCCAACCGTATATTCACAGTGAACTCCTTATCTCCTTTTCTCTTCACCTCAAAACCTTCATTAGGCGTAGGCGATCGAGCATGCTCCCATATAATGATATGATTATCTTGATATAGTCTCTGGTCCAAGGAAATTGTTACTCTCTTGAAGAAAGATGAAAATTTTGGGTATAAATGGTTTGTTTTATTAACAAACCCAGGTTGATCTGGATCTACTCCATCTTCCAGGATTCTCCCAATAATCTTAAGGGTCCACGTGGGAGGCTCAGCATTAGGCTTCTGAGGAATAGTCTTGATCTGATTAGCAAATGAGTTGAAAACGTATATGCGAAGAGTTTTCTGAACACAAGGTGGGTTTTTAAGTGCTTCCTGAATGTCAACTTTTTTCCTAGTTAATGCTGCATCGACATGTGCCTCAAATTCAAGAAGCTGGGTATACAAAGCAGATTCGGGAAGAATTGCTGCCACTCTATCTTGTAGTTGTTTGTCAGGAAGCTTCTGCTTCTTTCTTCGTGCAGCAGATGCAAGTTCCATTGTTCGCAAAGGTGACATTGTGTTCATCATAGGAACAACAGGAGGGAGCATGGGGGATTTTTGAAGGACCCTCTTTGCACTTGCACTGCCAGGAGTAGACATGTACGGAGAAGACAAACCTAAATTCCCAATGCCAGCATTCTGAGCCTGGTTAAGGGACAAACCTTGAGCTTGTAAGTGTGCTTGGAGTTGAGCATGAGCCTGAGCTTTCGACTGAGCCTGAGTAAGAGCCTGAGCGTGGGATAGCTGATATTGAGCTTGCAAACCAGCACTGTGCTGTGCTTGTGAGAATCCAGGGTTTCCAGGCATATAAGGAGGCTCCATCCCCGTGTTTCCAAATGGCGACGAAGACGCCCCAAGGCCTTTTGGGGGATTGTTCCCATTCATGGACATCACTAATCTAATTCTCCGGGAAATATCAAATATTCATCAAGATCTAAAACATCCGCAAAAAAGTAAATTCCGGGCTATCTCAGCCCACTAACCAAGAACACCCAAAGAAGCAATAATTCCCTTCAAAATTAAACCTTTAGAAGTTCAACCCTAAAGGGTACCCATGTCCCCCCGAAAAAGCCCTAATTTTGCAAAATCCCTCAAGGGAGCTGAATTTGAACTAAATCTTACCCCCAAAAGTTCTAAATATGAAACAAAGGGGAAATTAAGGGGAAACAAAGATGAAAAGTGCAAGAAATGAAGAATGTGGGATTACATTATGAGATTAAGGAGAATAAAACTGGAAAGAAATGATTAAAAACGTAAAATTGGAAGGGAAGAAAAAAGATCTTACGAAAGAGTGAAGAGATTTTAAGCGTTTTTGCCTTTCCTAGACCAGCAGCTACACAGAGTTCCGTCTCCTGTCTCTCCCGAATGTGTCTCTCCCGAATGTTTCCTTTTCTCTCTCGTTCAGTTCTTTTTCCCATTTATTAAACATCAGTACCCGTGCTCGTATCCGAACCCGACCTAGAACAGACTCGGCTCAGCCTGCTACAATCTTATGGGTCGAGTTAGCTGCCTCATTTTTTTTTTTACTAAACTTGACTTACTTCACCAGAGTTTTATAATTATTTCATTTTCAAATTTATTATTAAAAATACAACTAAAAAAAATTCATTCCCTTCTATTTTCACATTTAAAAAATATCAAATATATTTTATATTATTCAAATGTCTTATATATATATACTAATAAAACTAGAAAAAAACGTGACCATAGAAAAAATATTTGACCACAATTCTTTTGATTAATTGACCACTATTTAAAATCAAAATAATAAAGTAATCCATAAATTATCTGTGTTTGTACTGTAGACTTAGGAATCAATTAGTAGTTTTTACGATAAAAGAACAAGTTGGTCTATACATATTTAATTTTGAAATAGAAAAATAATCATCACAAAACACAAAAAATGTTTTAAAAAATAATTCAATCATGACAACTCATATGATCAAATGATGATAATCGAACTTAAATATTCATAGATTGATAATTATCAATGTCTCTTCAGCTTAAACCTTAAAAAATTATTAACTCATCATATTTTTTATTAAATAAAATTTTTAAAATAAATATTAAATTTCGAATCCATACAAGATGAGACAGTATTACCATCTTTAACCTCTCTAATTAATTAATTTCTTAACTTGTCATATTTTAAATTTAAGTAAAAATGAGTAATTTATTCCTTGAAAGTAAAAAAGAAAAAAGTTTGAATTTAAAATTTATTTCACCTCACTTCAAAACACCAGAATTCAACATTAATTTTCCCTATTTGGTTCAAAATTAAGTAAGATTAGGAGAATATATGGAAATTGAAAAGGCAGCAGGTTGTGTATGTCGACTAAAGTTTGGTTTTGAAGCACACAGCACATGGAACTACAACATATATGGAAGTTTCTTACAACTCCTCCCTCCATCTTTTATTCAACCTATTAAACACTGTATGGTCAAGCTACCCTCACACAACAGTTGAGCAGAAAGAAGTTTAGACGGTCCTTGTATCCCTCGATGCACCTCCATCGCAATTCCTCTCTCTCGGCTTCCGGTCTGCAAGTGTATATCGTCATACCATTGCAATTGCCGTTGCTGTTTGCAATGGCCGATGAATATCCAATCACCAACATTTCGTTGCCAAGCGACTTAAAAGCCACTCTCCATCCTTTATGAAGATCAGTTGTAACAGGTACCGCTCCAAGTTTCTTCTATGTGTTGGAGTTCTTAAGGCACATCTTGAGCTCATTCGAAGATGTTTCGAGACAGTAAAGCTCGTTGTTCACCACCGCTAGAAGGGGCAGTGATTGTCGTTTCACCACCGGATTATCGTCGTCTTTCAGCATTCCCGGTATTAGTTCCCATGTGTTCTTATCCTTGTTATAAGCCTCCCCACAGGTGAGTTCCATGTCTTTTTCATCTTTCCCTCCTATTACATAGAACTTGTCATCCATGAAACAACCTGAGCAAAGCTTTCTTTTCTTATACGTATATGGGAGACTCTTGTTGCGGAATACGGCTATCGGATAGAGCAAAATTGCAACTGATAATTTGAGAAAATAAAAATGAAGATAAAGAATACACAAATTTTACGTAGAAAACCCCTAAATAATATAGGGTAAAAACCACGAGCAATGATAGAAGAATTTCAATATGATAAAATATGAATTACAACTTCTCTTGATCTAACAAGGAGAAAACAATAACAATTCTCTCTTGATAAAAAGGAGAAAACAACTCTCAAGAAAACTCTCTAATTTCTCTAGTATTGGGAGAAAGCTAGTATGATTTGGGATGGTTTAGAAGCTAAATGAGGGTATTTATAGTTGAAGCTTAAGGAGTAATCTTGTAAATACCTTAAATTATAGTGACTAAATGTGCAATTTTATCATTGCAAAAAAAAATAAACAAAATCAGTGCTAGCTTTTCAGTGTATTATTGTTGCCAACTTTCGACAACTTTTGGTGCCACTTGCACCAATTTTTAACAATCTCCCACTTGAAGATTTGATTGGAACAATCATATCTTCACACCATTTTTTTTACCTTGTACCTTCATGTTGCTTACGTTTCTAACAGGCCACAAGAGGATCGACACCAAGTAAATTTATCAGTATTGATCGCCTTCATCATGAAATCTGCTATGTTGTCTTTGGTATGGATCTTCTGCATATTTATTGTCCCTTCTTCCACCTTTTCACGAATGAAATGGTACTGAACTCGTATGTGCTTTGTCCTTGAATGAAATGATGGATTCCTTGCTAGATGCAAGGCGCTTTGACTGTCACAAAACAGAGAGACATACTCTTGATTATGCCCAAGCTCTTCCAATAGCATCTTCAACCATATTGTTTCTTTACTGTCTTGCGTAGACTACATATTATGTTTCTGTTGTGGATTTAGCCATAGCTGACTGCAATTTTGAAACCCAGCTTACATCTTCACCAGCAACTTTAAACACATATCTTGTTGTAGATTTGCTTTTATCCAAATCCCCTGCATAGTCAGAATCGACATACTCATTGATAAGTAAGTTTGATCATCCGTAATATAATGCAACATTTGAGGTCCCTTTGATGTATCTCAGGATCCTCTATATTGTATTTCAATGCTCTTTTCCTGGATTCACCATGTACCGACTAACCACTCTCACTGCTTGTGCATATCATAGCGAACATTAAACTTCCCACTATCGATGCATACGACACTCGAGACATCTCCATCCCCTCTTCTTCACTGCTAGGACTCATACTAGAGGATAATTTGAAGTTAATAGGAAGAGGGGTAGAAATTGGCTTACAATCTTGCATGTTGAATCGTGACAAGATCTTCTTCAAGTAATTCTTTTGTGAAAGCCAAATCTTCCTATCACTTCTGTCTCGGTGAATTTGCATCCCCAGAATCTTGTTTGTTGATCCCAAGTCCTTCATTTCAAATTCCCTAGCCAGTTGTGCCTTCAATTATTCAATATGATCTTTGTTGGGTCCTGCAATCAACATCTCATCCACATACAATAGTAATATAACAAAATCGTTATCACCAAACCTCTTGAAATAAGCAAAAGGGTATGCGTTAAGTCTGTTGTATCTAAGGCACATAATGAAGGAATTAAATCTCTTATACCAACACTTTGGCTCCTGCTTTAGACCATACAGAGATTTGTTCAACCTGCAAACCAAGTTCTTCTTCAAAACCTTCAGGCTGGAGCATATAAATCTCTTCGTCAAGATTTCCATGAAGAAAATTTGTTTTAACATCTAGCTGCTCTAGATGTAAATTCAATGTAGCACACATTGCCAAGACTACTCGAATTGTTGTTAGTCTAACCACAGGAGAAAAGATTTCATTGAAATCAATACATTATTTTTGAGCATATCATTTAACCACCAGTCTTGCACGATACCTCTCAACTTGATCGTCACCATTTCTCTTGATTTTGAAGACTCATTTATTACCAATTGGCTTCTTTCCTCATGGTAGTGGCACAAGGTCCCATGTATTATTTTTATGAAGGGCTTCAATTTCTTCTTGCATCGTCATCATCCATAGTGAAATATCTGATTTGTTTATTGCCTCCTGGTATGTTGATGCTCATCGTCCTCTGTTAAAAGGCAGTATGCAATATTTCCTTCTATAACATAATCTGAGTGTCAATTGGGACGTCTTCTCACACGATATGATTGACGAGTTGTTGGAGCTTCAGAACTCTCTGGTTCTTGTTCATCATGTGTTGGTTCTGCTTCAGAAGAATCTCCTAGTTCAAACTCCTTTTCCACATGTATCTGTGTAGTCTCAAACTTTTTAGCGCTATCATCGTCTTCTTTTCTTTGTAGTTTATCTTCTTTTCTTTGTAGTTTATCTTCTACAAAGATAACATCCCCGCTGATGATCACTTTGCGGGCAGTGGGATCCCACAAGTGATACCCCTTTACTCCATCAGCATACCCCAAGAATTTGCATTTCCTGGATTTTAGATCCAACTTTCAAATTTCTTGAGAGTTGTATACACGACACTTCCAAATACATGGAGGTTTGAATAATCAGCTGGTTTACCAGTCCACATCTCCATTGGTGTCTTCAACTCTATTGCAGTTGATGGAGCTCGATTCACCAAATAACAGGCGGTATTGACTACTTCTGTCCAAAATGATTTTTCTAGGCCTGCAGCCCTCAACATTGCTCTTGTTCTTTCTAACAAGTTTCTGTTCATCTGCTCTGCCACTCCATTTTGTTGAGGAATATTCGCCACTGTGAACTGTCTTTTGATGCCTTCTTTCCTGCTAAAGTCATCAAATTCTTCACTTGTGTATTCTCTTCCATTATCTGTTTTGAAACACTTGATCTTATTTCCAGAATCAAGTTTCACCCGCGCTTTGAAGTTTTTGAAAGTTGAAAACACATCTGACTTTTTCTTAATAGGGTACACCCAACATCTCATGGAGTAGTCATCAATAAATGAGACAAAGTATTTTGCTCCACCTAAGGATGTAACTGGTTCTTGCCATACGTTAGAATGAACCAATTCTAGAACACTTTTGCCTCTAGAATTTGACGTGTTGAATTTCAACCGATGTTGCTTACTTGTTATGTAATGTTCACACAAAGTAAGAAATACCTTTGTTAAGCCTGGAAGTAGCTTTTGCTCCACAAGGACTTTCATTCCTTGTTCTGACATGTGTCCAAGTTTCTGATGTCATAGCATTTTAGAATCTGAACTACATAAGACAACAGAGGCTTCTGCTTCTAGCAAAGTCTCTCCCTTCAGCATCTACAAGTTTGTTTCTATCTTTTTGCCTTTCATCACCACAAGCGCTCCATAGAACACATTCATGATTCTTTTCCGTGTTTCAATCTTGCTTGCATTATTATCCAACAATCCGTAAGATAATAAA